GAATAACACCTTGCTTAAAAACCACTGGGTAATAGAAGAAATCAAAGATGGAGTAACAAAATTCCTAGAATCAAACAAAAATGAAAACACATCATACCAAAATCTCTGGGACACAGCAAAGGCACTGCTCAGAAGTCAATTTATAGCAATAGACCCACATATCAAAAAAGAAGAAAGGGACAAAATCAAAACATTAGCTCTTCAACTTAAAGTAATAGAAAGAGAATATCAAAATAAGCCCACCGCCACCAGAAGAAAGGAAACAATAAAGATCAGAGCAGATATAAATGAAATAGAGAATAGAAAAACAATAGAATCAACAAAGCCAAAAGATGGTTCTTTAAAAGGATCAACAAAATCGAAAAACCGCTGGCCAAATTGACTAAAGAAAAATGGTAGAGGATGCAAATAACTCAAATAAGAAATGAACTGGGGGACATTACAACAGACCCAACTGAAATAAAAAGGATCATAACAGAGTATTATGAAAAACTATCCTCTGACAAATTTGAAAGTACAGAGGAAATGAACATATTTCTTGAAACACACTACCTACATAAACTAACACAACTCAGGTTGAAAATCTGAACAGACCCATAACAAGAGAAGAGATTTAAAAGGTAATAAAAAAAACTCCCAACAATAACAACAAAAAACCCTAGCCCAGATGGTTTCACTGAAGAATTCTACCAAGCATTCAGAGAAGAGCTTGCACTGGTACTACTCAAAATATTTCAGAACACAGAAAAGGAAGGGATACTTCCAAATTCATTCCATAAGCCAGCATAACCCTGATACCAAAGCCAGGCAATGACATCACAAAAAAGAGAATTACAGACCAACATCTCTCATGAATATAGACGCAAAAATTCTCAAAAAATTCTAGCCAATAGAACTCAGCATTATGAAAAAACCATGACCAAGTGTGATTCATATCAGATATGCAAGGATGGTTCAACATTAGAAAATTAATATAATCCACTACATAAATAAAAGAAATAAAAGAATCACATGATCATCTCAATCGAAGCAGAAAAGGCATTCAATAAAGTCCCAACACCCATTCCTGATAAAAACTCTCAATAAAATAGGGAGAGAAGGGAAATTCCTCAATGTAATAAAGGGCATCTATACAAAACCAACAGCCAACATCATTCTTAATGGAGAGAGGCTGAAAATATTCCTGTTGAGAACAGGTTGCCTTTATCACCACTCCTAGTTAACATTGCGCTGGAAGTCCTAGCTTGAGCAATAAGGCAAGAAAAAGAAATAAAGTGCATCCAAATTGGTAAAGAAGAGGTAAAACAATCTCTATTTGTGGATAATATGATACTATATGTAACGTACTCAAAGGGTCAACAATAAAACTACTGGAACTAATAGAAAGTTTCAGCAGAGTAGCAGAATACAAGATAAACGTACAAAAATCATTTGGATTCCTATAGATACCTCTACAAAAAGGAGATCAGGAAAGCAATACCATTTATAATAGCCCCTAAAAAATAAAATACTTAGGAATAAATCTAAGCAGGGACGTCAAAGACCTATACAAAGAAAACTACAAACAACTACTGCAAGAAACCAAAGGAGACCTACATAAATGGAAAAACATACCACACCCATGGATAGGCAGACTCAACATTGTGAAAATGTCAATTCTACCCAAAGCAATCTACAAATGCAATGCAATCCTGATCCAAATACCAACAGCATTCTTTAATGAGATGGAGAAACTAATCATTAACTTTATATGGAAAGGAAAGAGGCCCCGGATAAATGAAGCTCTATTGAAGAAAAAGAATAAAATAGGTGGCCTCGCACTACCTGACCTCAGAACCTATTATACAGCTATGGTAGTCAAAACAGCCTCGTACTGGTACAACCACAGACACATTGACCAATGGAACAGAATTGAGAACCCAGATGCAAGTCCATCCACGTATGGTCACCTGATCTTTGACAAAGGCCCAAAGTCCATCAAATGGGGAAAAGACAGTCTTTTTAACAAATGGTGCTGGCAAAACTGGATGTCCGTCTGTAAAAAAAATGAAACAGGACCCATACCTCACACCATACACAAAAACTAATTCAAAATGGATCAAAGACCTAAGTATAAAATCAAAAACTATAAAGATGATAGAGGAAAAAATAGAGTCAATGGTAGAAGCCATAATACGCAGTATAAATAGGATACAAACCATAGCCAACAATATGCAAACACCAGAAGATAAGGTAGATAACTGAGATCTTCTAAAAATTAATCAATTATACTCATCAAAAGAATTCACCAAAAGACTAAAAAGAGAACCTACAGAATGGGAAAAATTTTTGGCTATGACAAATCTGACGAAGGTCTAATCTCTAAAATCTACAGGAAAATCTATCACCTCTACTACAGAAAGACAAAAAAATCCAATTAAAAAATGGGCAAAGGATATGAACAGACACCTCACCAAAGATGACAGTCAGGCAGCTAACAGACACCTGATGAAATGCTCAAGATCATTAGCCATTAGAGAAATGCAAATCAAACCTACAATGAGATAACCATCTCACCCCAACATTACTGGCACGAATCAGAAAAACAGAAAATAACAAATGTTGGAGAGGCTTCAGGTAGCTTGGAACTCTTATACACTGCTGGTGGGAATGGAAAATGGTACAACCATTCTGCAAAATGATATGGCTCTTCCTTTGAAAGCTGGAAATAGAAGTACCATATGATGCAGCAATCCCACTCCTAGGAATATATCCCAGAGAAATGAGAGCCGTCACATGAATAGACATATGCACACCCATGTTCATTGCAGCATTACTCACAATAGTGAAAAGATGGAAACAACCTAAGTGCCCATCAACAGACGAATGGAGAAACAAAGATTAGACGGGCCCATAAAATGAAACAAGACTAAATGGGCACACCAGCTCAGAGGCAAGGATGAGAAGGTAGGACGGGACAGGAAAGCTGGTAACAGGGAACCCAAGGTCAAGAAGAGGAGTGTGTTGACATGGAGGGTTGGCAACCAATGTCACAAAACAATATGTGTATTAATTGTTTAATGAGAAACTAATTTGCTTTGTAAGCTTTCATTTAAAGTATAATAAAAAAATTAAAAAAAAAAAAAGATTTACAGCCTTGGAAACCACATGGGGCAGTTCTTCTCTGTCCTACAGGGTTGCTATGAGTTGGAACCAACTCAATGGCACATAAGAACAACAATCTTTCTTTAATCTACCATCATCACTCATCCTAAACGACCACTGTTTTTCACCTGGACTAAAGTAATAGCCTTTGACTGTTCTATCTTTCTCCCCAATGTGGCTCTATTTCAATTTATTCTTCATGTTGCTGTCTGAGTAATCTTTTCAAGATGCAAATCTGATCACATTTCCTGTTTGCCTAAAACTTTTTGTTGTCTCCCTGTTGATTTTAGGATAAAGATAAGAATCCTTAACATGGTCTACAAGGCCTTTCATGATCTCATGTGGTCCAACCATACTGAACTTCTTCCATTAAACAGCATTTAGTTCTTGAATTTGCTAGGTTCCCACTCACCACCAAGTCCTTTATATGTGTTATTCTTTGGACTTGTAGTGTTCTTCTGTAAGTAACTCCTTCCCATCCTTCAGGTCTCATGAAACACTTCTTCAGGAAAGTATTTTCTGCTCTCCTTCCTACTGTAAATTATTATGGCACTAATACTGCTCCTTTATAACATTTTGCAATTTAATGCTTGCATGATTATTTGATCAATGTTTTATTCCAACTAGATTATAAACTGCGTGAGGCCAGGGGACACAGTTTTTGCTCAGAATTGTATCTCTATCACCTATCAAGACAAATGGCAATAGGCATATATTAAATATTTATTGAACAAATGACCAATTAATTGACAAGACTATGCCACATAGTGTGCTCATTCTGATGAACGGAAGGTAATTGGATTGACCCATTTGCTTCAACTAAATTAATTATTAATTAATTCAAACAAGAATGTCATTAAAGGAATCAATAGATAATGAATGAATTAAAAAAAAGGATGAAGATAATGTAAGAAATTATATTCACAGAATGTAATATTGAATATAGAATTTCAATAGAGTTCATAGTTCTTCTGACTAAGAATCCTTAACTTTTTCTAAGTGGAATTACTTTTTCTCTTTTGTTAAATAATTCTTACCTAAAATTTGATCGCTATTTGCGACTACCTCCAATTTTATCCATCTGAGTCTATTTCTTATGATATTTATAAAAGGAATATTTGAATTTTTTGAATCATTTAAGCTTAGAAGAAAAGATTGAACCAGTGAATGTGTGGGATATGTCTTTTCACAGAATATAATTTGTAATGTAGGATGATATGGTAAGTATTCCAAATACACCCTTTTGGCAACTGGGGATTTCATTTCTCATTGGTAAAATTTCCTAAATAAGAAACTTTTATGGATTGAATTGTGTCCCTCTAAAATGTGTATCAACTTGGCTACACTGTGGTTCCCAGTATTGTGTGGTTGTCCTCTATTTTGTTATCTGATGCAATTTTCCTATGTGTTGTAAATCCTAACATCTATGACATTAATGAGATAGGATTAGAGGCAGTTATGTTAATGAGGCAGGACACAATCTACAGAATTAGTTGTATCTTGAGTCAATCTCTTCTGAGATATAAAAGAGATAATGCAGCAGAGAGAAGAGGGGACCTCTTTATACCAAGAATGACGAACCAGGAGAGGAGTGTGTTCTTTAGATCCAGGGTCTCTGTGTTGAGAAGCTCCTAGACCAGGGGAAGATTGATGACAAGGACCTTCCCTCAGAACCAACAGAGAAAAAAAGCCTTCCCCCAGAGCTGGCACCTTGAATTCGGACTTCTAGCTGCCTAGACTGTGAGAAAATAAATTTCTGTTTATTGAGGACATCCACTTGTGGTATTTCTGTTATAGCAGCACTAGATAACTAAGATTCTTTCTTTTGGGAATTTAATGCAGTATTTTCTCCACAGGCTAGGGAAGAGTCCGAGGAAAAAGAAGAACAAATGGCTGAATTTCAGAAACAAAAAGAGGTGTTACTGTCTTTATTTGATGAGAAACGTCATGAACATCTTCTCAGTAAAGGTCAGTATTTTATTCTAATGACCGTTTCCATGGAATTTATAAACGTGAGATCAAAATATAATTGTAGAAGACTATCAAACCATACTTGGTGGAAATAGAATGAAAATTGATATACTACTCATAGAAAGAAGAATGCTATCTAGGAGAGACTTGGGTTAGGTTTTTATGCTCAGTGTACTTCAAAGACATTAATGAACATTTTTTCATAGTACATGTCAGACATTAGGAATACCAATATAAATTGAACACATTTCTTCTTCAAGTAGTTTATAGCCTAATAGGGACAGACGTGAAAACCAAGATTTGTAATTATAAGTAGAGGTAGGAGAGGGAAGGGATAACTCTACTATAAGGGCAAGGTTGGCTGTGCAGAAGAAATAAGTTTCCCAAGCAAACCAGGAAAAGCACACATTTAAGTTTTCATCATAATTGATACTGTTGTTGTTAGTTGCCGTTGAGTTGATTCTGACTCAGGCAACCCATGTGCTCCAGAGTAAAATTGCTCCAGAGGGTTTTCTTGGCTGTAATCTTAATGGAAGCAGATTGCCAGGACTTTTCTTCCATGGTACCAATGGGTGGGTTGAACTGCAGTCATGCTCAAACTGTGCACTACCTAGAGCTATTATTGTGAATACGAAACTAGTTGATCAATACAATTGGTGCCTTCACTAATTAACTCTTTTCTTTTACCTGTTTTAACTTTTTTTGTTTATCTTATTTGGAACTTGTAAGCTGCTGGAAAACCTTTTTGAAAATAAGCAAAATAGAAATAAAAAATTTGTATAGTACAAGGAACAAGTACAAGACCCAGCAGTCTATGAAACCAGTATTAAAGTCTGTAAACCAAGAGGTTATTGGCCAAGTTTCATTTTTCTGCAATTAGGTGTAAAGGTTTTTATAAGCACACACATATGAAATTTTAGGTAATACTTACGCACTTTGAAGCCAAGTAAACTCTCTCTGAGTGAATTAGAGAAAATGACTTTTCATATGAAGGTTATTCCAAGGGTGTTTTCTACATGATATTTTCCTAAGATAACATTTTAGTGTTCTGAGAATTTAAAGTGGATACAGATATATAGTTTGTTTTCTAAGATGTAATGTTAAAATAATATTATGAATAATATGTTTTCAAATGTAAGTTAAGTGATAACAATTTAAAACTCACAGTTTTCTAAAAATATATAAAGCGTTTAATTATTTATGGTAATGATGCCAAAATTAATATAAGACTGTATTAAATTACCTATTAAACTAAAAGTCACTATGCATTTTGCAGGTGATAGACGGCTGTCATACCGAGCACTTCAGGGGGCATTAATGATATATTTCTACAGGTAAAAGCAAAGCAGAAGAGGAGATGCAAACTAGAAATTGAATGAGTGGACATAGATAATACATGTATAAAGCTTATAAGTTACAATTATAGTTTATTACAGTCACTTAGTTTTAAGAGAAAACAAAATAACTAGTGAGGTTTCATGAGCATTTTTTACTTGTAAATAGCGAGGATATAACTTTATCCCTGTATTGGGTAAAATAACACGAATTAATCAAATATCATTTTATTAAATTCTACAAAGTATTATGTGACAGAGTTTGCTAAAGAGTCAAAGTTTATTCTATCTCAGAAGCTCAGTCAGGAAATGTATTGTCTTTCAACAATATTGTAGGTTTTTCCTGTTTTATAAAATGAAGAAGGATTGGATAAAGAGAAATCACCTTATAAGCTTTTGTTTTATTTTATTTAGTAATTTAATGTAAAATCGCCTTTGCTGTCTAAAGTGTCCACTTACTCCACATGTGTGAAGGTTCCATCCCTACGAATTAAATGCGTAAGCACACTAGCAAAAAGGTCTCCGATACCTTTGTTTACTGGATAATTCTTCCTTCCTTGAATTTACTTAATTTTTTAAAAACCACTCAAATACATTTCTTCAGAATGGCAACATAAAATATTTTTATTCTTTTCATAAACTCTTCCTAAATGTCTGCCACTCAAGCTTATGGGTCCTAAACTGAAAATGTACCGAGAGGGTTGAGGGTTAGAAGAAGAAGGAAAAAATATAGAGAGAGAGGAAGTAAAAAGCAGTCATTGTCTTTTTGTTTGAATATCTTTACCTAGAAGAAGCTTACTGATGATTGCTAGCTGAGAAACCTTTTGAGAAAATACATGTCTGCCTTTGTAGTTATAATCTATGCTCTGTGTGGTTCTGGCTGGGTCCTCATGTCTATTACATGAGATACCCTAGACTGTCCGCACAAATCACTGAGTAGTATTATCTCTGTATTTGAGACGAAGAAACTGAGACTAAGAGAGCCATCCAAAGCTGCACAGCACCTAAGAGGCAACGTTGATGTTTGTCTCCAGGGCTGATTGATTATAAAACTCATGCTCTTTCTAACACACTGCACTGGCTTGAATAGAGATTTCTTTTTCTTTTTTTTCCTTTAGGGAAGAGCCTAGATTCCAGGTCCCTTTTCAGTTGCTGACTTATCTTATGGACATAGACACACTCATGACCAAATGGAGATGTGAGTCGTCCCCTCCCCCAGAGTCCTCCTTAGCCCGCCATCTTGCTCCTTCCTTTCCTTCCTGTCTTGGCTGTCTCTCTCCCTCTCTTGTGTGTGGTTGATTGTCTTCTTTTAAAATCAGTCCCAGGATAGACTAATCTGGTACGCACAGTAGGCCCAGTGCCTAGGGTCTACCACACTTTCGAGGACCCATGAAACTCTTTTATTTCTTTATGAAAATATTTTATTTTAAATCATAGAGAAGAAAATGAACTTTTAGGTTCAAAGAAAGTGACTGGATATATGATATTAACATGCTTGCCTTTATGCCAATGTGGTTGTAAAATAAAGGTTTTTATAGTTTTTGTTTTTTTAATTGAGGAAGGGGCTCACGAAGCAAAGTGCTAAGGACTCAGGAAAGTCATGATGTGGCCCTGCTCTCCCCTATTGGGTTCACAAACTAAATGTAATGTTGAATGGCGTAAAATGCATGTGGCCTGAACCAAGTGGAGTGCCAGGCAACCCAACCGCCTCATTACATGAACGGCTCTCACACACGCACCTTCCGTAGCGCTGCCTGATAAGGCGTCAGCCTCTGCTCAGAAGCAACAGTCATTACCAGTCGCTTGCATTTAGAACACTGTGGAACGAATGGCAGAAAAACACCCATGGACTGAATTTGTGTGTTCGCCTAGATAACCACGTGTGCATGGTGCACAGAATGCTGGGCAGCAAGGCTGGCACTGGTGGGTCCTCAGGCTACCAGTACCTTCGCTCAACCGTGAGGTAAGACAGGGGAAATCCACCTTTTCATCTTGTGTGAGTCACTGGTTCTTTGTTTCCTCACATATTTGGGCATTGTCTAGGAAAAGTCATTTCTATTTTCTCCTGTCTGAACTTCCGACAACATATTTGTAGTTATTGTTTTCATCCTTGTTTTACTACCAAATTGACCGATTTTTAAAACTCACTGGCTTTAATTTTCACCATTTTTTATATATTCCAACTTTTCCTGAGAATAAACTCTACAACGATTTTTAAAATTCCTTGGTTTGAATTTTCACCATCTGCACGTTTTCTCTGTTTCTGGGGATAAACTCGGTAAACATGAAATCGCCAATGACTGTACAAAATAAGCGCGCAGAACCGGAGTGGTGGTGGGAATAACTCAAACGAACTATTTCCAGTGTGTCCGCGCATCACTTAATCTTCCCAAAGGCCTGGAAGGGAAGAAACTTAGTTTTTATTTTACAAAGTAAGAAACCAAGGCACTGAGGGTTTAAAATCTTGTCCTAGCTCACAAAGATTGTATGTGATGGAACCAGGATTTGAGCCCAGATTCATTTAACTTTAACGGATACTATTCCTCCACTATAATACTGCAACACTGTTAAAATAGTTGGCTATCAAACACAAAAGCAATTTTTAAACTTAAAACTACATTTACAGATACGCATTATAAATATAAGATACTATTTCCGTGTGTCAGTTCCTTATGGCACTTACTTGTCAGCTACTTTGCAGTCAGGAAATATTCCCCAATGAACAACTAAGAACTCTGTATGCTTTAAATTTCTCAGTTTGCACACCATACTGTGAAAGTAGAAAATGAGAACACAACCTTATCTTTTTGAAAGCAGCGTGACAATAATACTAGAGTCTAAGCCAGACGAGCCTGGTCCGCATCACCCAACACATAATACTGTTTTATAGGCATGAACTTTGGAGATGGGACGAGAACTAGACAACCTTAACACTAATGTTACATGTTGCTGTTAAGTGCCATTGAGTCAATTCCGACTCATAGGGACCCCCTGTGACAGAGAAAAACTGTACTATAGTGTTTTCTTGGCTGTAATCTTTACTTAAGCAGATCTCCAGGTCTTTCTCCTGTGGAGCCACGGGGTGGGTTTGAACCACCAACCTTTGGGTTAGCAACTGAATACTTAAGTGTTGTACCACCTACAAATATATGTTGTTGTTGTTAGGTGCTATCAGAATCTGTTCCGGCTAATAGCGACCCTGTGTACAACAGAACAAAACACTGCCCAGTCCTGCGCCATCCTCACAATCATTGTTATATATATGTGTGTGTATGTATGTCATTATGTATGTATGTATACATATGTATGGGTAATACTTAATATAACTTTGAATACTAATAATTTATGGCAAAATGTCATAATCCTAGACATGACATTTTTGGATATAAACTTTGAAATATTTCATGTTAATGAATCTAAAATGACTGTATATATGTGTTTTTCCAGTGACAGGTACAAGGTATTTGTAGATCTATTTAACCTTTCGACGTATCTGGTTCCACGACACTGGATACCGAAGATGAACCCAATCATTCACAAATTCCTCTACACAGCTGAATACTGTGACAGCTCTTACTTCAGTAGTGATGAATCAGATTAAAATCATCTGCAAAATCTATGAAGCCCACTGATGTCTCACTATATCTTTTCTTATTTTCTATGAATTTTCATGAGTACACAAATAGTCCTAACATATGTATATACATAGCTCAGCACCACGGTGTTCTGGTTCAATTCCAAAAATCATTTTATTATCGCAAGTGTGTGAAAGGATTAAGCATTGAGATAAAAAATAATTCAGCTAAACTGTAACATTGTACATAGAGCATTTTTCTATTAAAATTCAATTTCCCTTGATATTTCACTGAGTCCCTTAATGCAATAAATTTTCTCGTTTCAAACTTTATAAGCTTGTAAATTTCATTATTTCAAATATTTATACAATAAAATGCATCATTCTGTACAAAGGCTTTTATTCGATTAAAATTTTCATAAATAAAAATTACTCTTTTTACCATGTATTGTTTTTGAAACATTGCTTTTATTTCCTAGAGCTCTTGAAATGGCAGAAATCTATCTGAAGCTTTCCTTAAAAAAAAAACAAAAACCTATTGCTGTCAAGTCGATTCCAACTCATAGCGACCCTACAGGACAGAGTAGACCTGCCCCATAGGGTTTCCAAGGAGCGTCAGGTGGATTCCAATTGCTGACCTTTTAGTTAGCAGCTGAGCTCTTCACCACTGTGCCACCAGAAGCTTGCCTGGAGGTGTTTATTGAACAATCACTCCGTTAGCTCAAAGAATTGATAGCAGCACTGTCCAACAAGCCTTCGGAGAGAGGAACCTGGAGAGCTTTGAGGCCACAGGGCCTGGGTCCACTTCCTGGAATACTACGTTCCTGGAACACAGGATTCTGTTTGTCTTGTCTCTTCTCTGTTGGTGTTCCTTCCTTCTTTCCTATTACGTAGACCAGCTCCTTCCTCAGCCTCCAGCACCTTTGGGTTCACAGAAGGGCAATGTGGCTCTTTTCCCCAGCATCAGTTTTGTGGTTTGGGAGGTAGACATATGCACAACAGGATTGACGTAGGGGTGAGGAGCAGTTCTCTCTTTTCAGAAGAAAGGAGATGTAGACAGAATAAGCAATGATCTGATTCATTTTAAATAACAAGTAATAGGCTAAGAGTTTTGATTAGAAACGAGTTTTATTTTTCTATTTCTAGTTTTGCTTTGATATTGGCAAACACTTAAGTTTCTATTATGCAGAGAGTATATAATATCATGAAAGGAATACTGAAGTGTACATCAATCTTACCTAGAGTGAATGATTATCATAGGGAGCAATAACTTCTTGATGAATTGAACAATTCTTTGGTCTTTCAATTGTTTTTTCCTGTAAAGATCATATTGTCTAGCTTGACTCTAAATTATATATAATTGTTTTTGCCTACATGGCTTTTGTGCTTGTGTGTGCGTGTATGTGTGTGTACATAGGACCTGAGTGTGGTGAAGCTGAGGAGGTATAGAGGCAAGCTGCATGCTGGCTAAAGGCAGACTTTGAAATCAATAAGCTTGAGTGCAAATTCTGGCTCTGCTTTTCATTAACTACCTACTCTAGTAAAACAACTTACCCCATTTAAGCCCTGGTTTTCTATCTATATAGTGAGGATGATGATACTTATAATCTTTTGGTTTTTCTTATGCTATAATGAGAAATGTTAGATGTTCTGTCAACAAATTGCCTTGCAATCTTAGAATATATGCTACTCCCTCATAGTTATCATTCTTTTAATAGACTACATGATTTGATTTAGTTCTTTACATGTTTATATCCAGGTCTGACTAAGCTACTACAAGAGTTTTTTTCAGAAGATATATCAATAACTTTTAATTTAATGTCAAAACGATATATATGTCAGTTCCCACCATTGTCCCCATTCATACTTGCTTCTAGATTGAGAATCCAATTTAAAATTCTAATTCTAAATGTGTCACGAAATCACCGTAAGGAATTTACACAATAGTTGAAAGATTAGACTCAAACATACCAACGATCATGAAAATGACCCAGGACTGAGCGACGTTTCCTTATACGTAAGGTCACCATGAGTCGGAGCTTACTCAAAGGCAACTAACAACACTTACCTTGAGAAGCTTGCGAAACAACATCCAAACATGTTGATGATGAGTCCTAATTGGTGCGTGAAGACCTCATTGTTTTCCTCGAAGCCTTCCTACTATGTGAACTTCAAGCAGTTTGTAATAGATCCAAACCGAAACCAAACCTGTTGTCGAGGAGTCAACTCCAATTCATGGCAACCCCATGTGCTACAGAGTAGAATTCCATAGGGTTTTGTTGGCTGTAATCCTTATATGAAAGTAGATCGCCAGGCCTTTCTTCTGCAGGGCTGCTGGGTGGGTTTGAATGGCCAACATTTCAGTTAGAAGTCTAGCTCAAACCTTTTGAGGCACCCAGGGACCTGGGTTATAGAGGGAGCATGGGAAATGCCTACGTGGAACAGCAGCAACCGAGAAACAATTGAGTTGAGAAGGTGGAGAGTGGCTTCTCCAGGAAAGCTCATATTATAAAGAGTTTGCATATGGTAGTCATTGGGAGTCCCTGAATGGTTTAAAACAGGGAAATAATGTGATAACACTGTCATTTAGAAATGTAAATCCAATGGAAATATGATAGATGAATTATAACAGCACCCATCAGAAGCACCTACGGGGCTTGTTAAAAACAGAGTTTCTAACTCAGTAGGTTTGTGGTGGGGCCTGAGAATTTGCAATTCAAATAAGTTCCCAGGTGAAGCTGATATTGCTGGTCTGGGGACTGCACTTTGAGAAGCCTGGGTTAGGACACACTGAGTTCAGTGACGAGACTACTGAATAGTGGAGAGAGGGGCACTAAAGGACATACATCTGAGAAGGGGCAGTAGAAATGGAGAGGAGGTGGATGATTTAGTAACAGGTTATCAAGGTATACTTGACCTGATTAAATATCTAAGATTTTACCAATTTTATGAAGTGAGTGATTACATACTGTTGACGCTGTTAACAACCAAAATAGAGAATCGAGGAGCTCTTCCCCCTTCCCCTCCCTTGGCAGGAGCGTGGGAGAAAATGATGGGTGAGGCTTTGGAATGACTGCGGTTCAGGCGTCCATGGAGAAAACCAAGATTGGATCTATGGATTTGGAGCTGTGAATGTAAAGCCCATGAACACTGGGTTGACAAAATTTAAGCCACACACTTATGGACAGATGCTTCTCAACTCAAGGGTAAGTAGAATGTTTTATTATAAATGTCATCAAAATCTGGAATAGCTGAGAGGTGTTAAACATCTTGAAATTTTAAAAATTCTTCAGCATTTCAAAAAGTATTACAAAAGTATTCGTATCATAGAGAAAGTCATTCACTGAACACAGAAACTTAATAGGAAAGCATTCACATTTATCCATCAGAAATTAGAACCACCAGGACATATTTCTTTTCTGGCATACCTGGAAAATTAGAATGTTTATTAATTAAAATGTCACTATTTGCCTTCCTGGATCATCTCGAATGCTGAGTTAACACGTATTATTTTGAGATTGCTTCTGGTTGGTATGAAAAAAAAAATACAGTATTTATCTTTGATTTTCTTTTTCTACTAAAAGGAAGGCTAAATAAAGATCAAATGTGAGAGGAAAAAATGGGATATCCCTGAAATTTTTTAGTGGTTATTAATATATTTAAAGTTTCATTTCTGTTAAGATCTTCTACATTAAAAAGAAGCCATAAATGTTAGAGTAGAGATATTTATATATGTATAGTTGATATGATTCTCTTATAGTAGCTCATTCAATATGGTTGCACTTATATTAAAGCAGATCAGCTCTTCCACTCTGAGATGAAATGGCTTGTCTCCTGGTTCCCTAGCATGAACAGCACCAAGTGTCCCTTTAGGCACAAAGGGTTATTGATCACTGCTGAGAATGCAGGATAATCAGCAATAGCGACTTAGCAGCTGGAACTCACTTATGTAATTAACAAGGTAAGAGGTAACACAAGCATTAAGAGGAACCAGGAGCCAAGTGAAAGCCAAAAAAGTAATTAGAATGGAAGACTGGGAAACTGAGCAGAATTTTAGGTGTCAGATTTTGGCTGATACCCCAGGTGAAGGGACTGGATCTTAAAAGAAGTCGTGCCAAAAGATGATGGGAGGGAGATAAAGGTGAGATCCTGGTGTTGATAAAGTAAGCCTTTTATGGCCCTCTAAATAAATGGCTAAAGACAGGAATGGAAAGTAAACAATGACACTTAGTTCTTTAGTCATGAACACCAAGCCACTAAGAAAACTTAGGAATTATACAGTAAAGAGTAAGATAAAGAAGGTGATAAAATGTGGAAAATATTTTGTTCTTCAATCTAGGAAGAACACCAAAACCAAAACCCATTGCCGTTGAGTCGATTCTGACTCACAGTGACCCTATAGGACAGAGTAGAACTGCCCCATAGGGTTTCCAAGGAGCAGCTGGTGGATTAGAACTGCCGACCTTTTGGTTAACAGCCAAGCTCTTAACCGCTGTGCCACCAGGGTTCCAGAAAGAACACGGGAAGAAATAAAATCTATTGGCTTCCTACCGACGACGAAATTTCAGAACAACACTTTGTCTTTCAAGCAGTGCTGATTAGGGTTCCTCATCCCATTATTGCCATACTGGTCATTTAATGTCAATGAGTTTAACTGATTATCTTAAGAAGCCATTTTGCCCTTTTACTTTCTTCCACATAATCTCCCTACAGTTGAAGGGGTTAGCAACATTGGCTTGAGGTAAAGCAACAGATTTTTCAAAATCCTTACAGTGTTCTGTCTTGGGGGCTGCTAAGATAATTGTGAGAGGCACACATAATTTCAGGCTGGCCATTTTTGCACATGGGGTAAACTAATGCTGGTGACTGCAATCCCACAAAAGAAAAGAAACTCTTAATACCTCCTTGATCTATCTAAAGTTTCTCATTAAAAAAGAAAGAAAGACAACAAATGAGCAAACAAAAAATAATTGACTCTTTAAGCTGAAAAGATCTACAATGTCTCCAAACTGGACCAGAGCAGTAAGCTGTTCCAAAGGTTCCTGCTGGGTTATGGGTGCTGGTGTTCTTCCTGCTGACTTTGGCTGTCCATCCTTCCATAAGAGGGGACTGCTCTATAGCTAAGTTCAAATACTATAAGGCCCTGGAAACTTCTGTTGCTGGTTGTTGAAGCCTAAGGGTGAATGATGCTTTAGAATGAAATACTATATTACATTTCATTAGAAAAAGCTTAATTTTTATAACTGTCTCTTGATATGCCCAACTTATCACACAAATACAGCAGAAACAGAATCTGCAATACCTAAATGGGAAAAAAAAAAGAAATTGTTAGTACTAGTCTATTCCTTCTTTAGATGCCTTTTAAACAGCAAATTAAAACTTATTTTTCACTTGGTTTCATAAAAAGTTAATATTTACTAAGAAAAAAATTTAACAGTCATAGTGACCCATTGATGTAAACATGAAAACTGCAAAAGCAGATATCAGAAGAGATGCTTGTTGTTTTTGTTTCAAGAGAATAAAAAAAAAACAACAACAAATAGTTGTTAACTGAATAGGTGAATGCATCTGAAATCTGAATTGCATTAATACATAATTTATAGGATTATTTTTTAATACAATTTCAAAATTCCAACTCTAAAATTTGAATTTAAATTAACAAAATTTCAATAAATCACAAGTATGCTATGCTTTCCCAACTCTTAAGAACACAGATCCCAACATCATGGAAAACACCATAAACAGCTTACCCTATTTTTTACAGAAAAATGCACCTATTATGTACTTTTTTTGCCAACCATGCAACCCCTCCTGTGTTATTTTCATAATCGCGCTATGCCAATGTTGTTTACAAGTTGCTGACTTCAACTAACACACAGAAGACGTGATTAAACTATGAAAAGGGCAGACCTAACAAAACCTAATGGTTTCACTTAAGATGATCCAATAAGGTTTTCACATTCAACTGTTGAGCTAATACACTATAATTATCAACTTACGTTAATAGAAACAAATGCAAATTGTTATGTTCTGATTACTGGCAGACAACCAATCTCGATCCATTACTTCCTGACCATGGATTATACTTTTAGTATACAATTATGATCAAAAGTAACATTTTAGACTATTTTTATACACATAAGTAGGAGATTAAAGAAAATGAACAGAACGATTTACCAATAATATGGGAGGCTGGGTGAACGAGGCCGAAATTCACTTCTGGAAATGTCATGAGACATGTGTGGTATATGCATGGGGAACCTATGTTTCACTAAATTTCATCATTTTCGTGTGTTCTATGTGTGGGCACATTATTTCCATGGGCGTGTTATGTGCAAAAAAATATGGTATTTGAAGACTGCTATTTTGCTGTAATTAATAAGATCTTTGACATCTTTTGGGCTCATCAAATGCTATCTGCCTCATAGAGGTAATGTGGCCATCACTGGAAGTCAGCTTTTAGGAAATACCCACTTTCAAGAAGGATTTGAGTTTGTATATAATTACTAACCAGGTGGGCTCTTAAAAACTATGAACTCAGGTGGAGGGAGAAAATTATCCCAATCCACGCTTAGAGCTGGGGAAGAGAATGCATGAGGCAGAGTCATAATCCAGGCAGCTGTAAGCCAATATCTGAATTATGTTCTTGGCACTCTCCTGCCAGAGCTTTGAAAACAACCGCCCTTGGGACCAAACCCAGGATCCACCACTTGCACAGTTAAAGAGATCATGTGTGTTCAGTAGCAGGGGTTCAATGAATGGCAGAAGTAATTTATCCGCAATTCCAACACTGGAAAAGCTCCAACAATGCTGGAAAGTGGAAGTCTGACTGGGCTGCTAGAGCTCTACCTGGAAGATTTCTGTGCTGTCAACTTTTTTTTAATACACTGTTCATGAAAACTGTTTCACTGGGGTCACAGGGCAGGTCATTTATTCACTATAATGGATTCTACTGTATGGAATGACTGGACAGTAGTTACTCTGCTGTTGTTGTGTGCTGCTGAGTTAATTCCAACTCATAATGACCCTACGGGACAGAACAGAACTTCCTCGTAGGGTTTCTACGGATGTAATCTTTATGGAAACAGACTGTCACATCTTTCTCCCATGGAGCCACTGGTGGGTTTGAACTAATAACTTTTTGGTTAGCAGTTGAGCACCTAACCACTGTGCCACCAGGGGTCCTTAACAGTCACTAGATGGAGTAAAAATATCTCTATGACTCCCTTTTATCAGTCTCACAATCTGAAGGGTTCTACAATTTTTAAAAAGTTCTATACGTGATGGAACTATTTGTAACAGGAAATTAGATGATTGTTCAAATATGCAGTACCAGCTTGGGTCTAGTTTGACTCAGAAAAGGTACTGATTTTCTAGATCAAAGGTTTGAGAATGTAGCTGTAATTCCAACTTTAAACAGTTCACTAGCCAGTATGTTGTTGATTTTAGAAAGTTTGTTATTCAGGAAAAGAGCATTTCTGACATTTGTTTAAGCCTCTGATTTCTAGTGGGTATTGTGCTAAGATTTTGTAAGTTACAAAGGGAGTATACACTGAATCTCAGGAACAACCCTAATGCTCAGATATGTAGCTGAAAGATAACTTTGATTCCAGTGAAAAAGTGATTCTTGATAATCCTTAAGTAGCATAATATGCAAATAAAGGGGGATTCACATAGATATAAAATGCAAATTTGGAACTAAGACAGTTCTGGAGAAATTCAGCCTTCTAAATTGAGTGCTTATCTAGTCTTTGCTGTAGGTAACTTTGATAAATTACTACTCTATCTTACAATGTTTTGCTCGTTATATTTTATTTGTTTTTACTATAGGGCCTCCTGAATAGTCCCTCTTCAGGGACTATTTTAAAACATGAATATGTGGGCTGCTAGTCTCTCTCTTTAAAACTACATTTTATTTTTATTAATTAATTAAAAGATGAAAATTACTACTGCAAAAGTGATTTGAGTACATAGGAACCAGATCATAAACTGGATACTTTTATAAGTTAAAAACTTTCAAAGAGTTTCCCTTGATATTTAGTCTGGATTTTTAAACCTAAATTCATTACTTACCACAAATATTAGCTCCCATTTTTACATGGGCATAGCCATCCACTCCCCATGACCTTCCCCAGGAGTTTCGGACTATCCAATATGGCGTACTTCCTACAAAACATAAAATCACAACAAACACTGAAAAACTCATACTTGTTGTGAATGCATATGTGTCTTTAAGGTTGGGTTCTTGATAAATATAGTAGCTCTGGACAAGAGATGAAAAACGTACTGTAATGCTAACTTCAGCTAGCTAAGTAAACTTGAGCTATAGGTAAGGCAACACTCTAAACAGGAGAAATATGTCTAAATTAATTGTCCTTAACGCAGGCACTGTATAAAATAAAAACAGATAAACATTTCTAGGGAATTGGGAAAAAAAATTCTAGAAATGTATGATAAAATTATAAGCATTCTTTTTTTTCTAACAATTATCCTAAACATTTTAGATGGAAAACGTATACATTTTAAACAAGAATTATCATCATTCTAAAAAGGTATCTACCAAAATTTATAGGTGAAACCTTGCATGGGATTTATACCTGCAAGTCTACTGAGACTTTGGGAAGGACCAGACTTCAACGTTCTAAACAAATGGTGATCATCTGGCAATCAGAGCTGAAGGTGGAAAGCCATCAGCACATACCTGTTTTATCAAACCCAGTTATGAGAACTGCATGGTTTGCTTCTCCACTAGAGCAGTGATGCTGTATTATGCCTCCCAGATAATCCTGCCAGCTCACGGCATCTACTATCACTACCAAAGGGCCAAAGGTAAGAAGTGCTTTTGCCATTTCATCTTCTTGGTCACTACCAAAAAAGGAAATACTTGGTTAAGGAATTTGTTTTTGAAGGTAAAATATAAAAAAATGAGCCATTAAATCTGTATATGGTTAGGAGTGGGTTTGGCTGCAATTACAAAAGAACTAAAAAATGGAAGCTAAGTGAAATCTGCCTATTGGCAGTCCAGTACTGGCACGGGGCTCAAAGATGTCAGGAACCCAAGCTATTTCTGTGCTGTGTGAGTTTTCCATTCCCAAAGTCAATTCATGGTCCAAGATGGCTGCTGGAGCTCCAGCCATTTAATACATACTTAGGCAGCAAGATGTAGGAAAGAAGAAGAGCTACCATCTTGTTCAGAATATTTCCCAGAAGTAACACACATTTCTGCATATGTCTGCATAGATCTCACTGGCCAGAACTCAGTCATGTGGCTAAATCTAGCTTCAAGGACAATGGGAAATGAAGTTGAGTAGCTGTAAAGTTCACAGCTAAAATATAAAGATTATTTTGATAAGGAAAGAAGAAAAACTGGGTATGTGGAAGGATCGTGTCATCTCTGCCATACCATGTGAAAATCCAGAGACCAACCAACTTACCTTAGTGAATATCAAATATAGACATTACATGGACAGATTATTTAAAAGGGCTTAACATAATCATACGATAGAAGAAATGTTAAAATTCCCAAACTAGGTGCTAGATTTTCAAAAATGCAAAGGACACAATTACTGCTTTCATATGTGGGCATCTACTGATAAAGTCTTTTGTTATATAATGTTTGGCCTTCATACATCTTAATACTCATTGCCATTGGGTCGATTCCGACTCGTGGCAGCCCTATAGGACAGAGTAAACCTGCCCCATAGGGTTTCTGAGGCTGTAATCTTTACGGAAACAGACTGCCACGTCTTTCTCCCACGGAATGGCTGTTGGGCTCGAACCGCTGACCTTTCAGTTAGTAGCTCTGCGCTTAACCGTTGCACCACCAAGGCTCCCTCTCCATCTTAATAGTATATGCTTAAACCACCACTTACATTTTTTAAAGGTCAGCTTTGTGGTTAAAGGATACTGAAAACAAGTTGCTGATATTTCAGGTCATTATTCAGATAGCATTTAGCAGTTTATTGCTGCAGCAGGCTATGGGTGGATTAGTGGTTTGAAAGAGTAAATAATCCCTCATCATGCCCAGCTGGAGGCCAGTTTCTATGAAGGGATACTTTGTTCACGGATCAAGAAAGAACTGCATGCACGTGAAATTCATTGAAACAGACACTGTACGTTGATTTTACACATTTATCCATATTACATGTTAAACTCTGTTTTTTGGAAATCTATAAGCAGGCATTTCTGAATTTTGATACTATATTACTAATACTAATCAGTATTCGTTAAGATTATTTTAATACAAGATAAAATTATAAAATTCTTGAAAGGCATCATGGTAGGTTATAGCTTTGAAGTTCTGTGTTAAAAAAAAACAAAAAACAAAACATGGTCATGGAGTTGATTCTGACTCATGATGACCCCACGTGTTATATATAGAGTAGAACTCCTGTGAACTTTCTGGAAGTAAATTGTCAGGCATTTCTTCTGCAGTGGTTTCTGGGTATATTCAAACTGCCAATCTCTAGGTTCGTAGTCGAGTGCAACCCCTTTATAGCACTCAGAGACTTGCAGTTCTTCATACCTGGGTACAGATTCCAGCTGTACACTACAGTCATTCCACCTGCTTTGTAGAATTAATATAAGATAAAATTATAGGTATAAATTGTGTACCTTACCTAGCACATGAGTTCTACTCTAACTTTACAACAAACATTGTTTCCTTCCTCATTTCTAACTCATCTAATAATTTTTTAGCATAAGTTTCAGTATATATAGTAGACTTTATTGTATTGAAATTCTTTGAATATTTTGTAACCCAAATACAATTTATATGATCTTCTCTGTTCTACCCAGAACACAGTTGTCTCTATCTATTTAAGGCAACCAAAGATTTACTGTAAAATATATCACATCAGCAATCCAGTTTCAGGACGAAGCATAAAGGAAAGAGAGAGATCGAGAATTTTTTTTTTTTTAAAGAAAATAAAGGGTTAGTAACATTGTAGGATCAAAGAAATAACTTAGTAATTAACCCTGCTGTGAGGCAGGCTGAGGAAAACATATCAAAGATATTGAAAAATAAGAAATAAGAGGACATCTGACTGTAAGGACAAGCCAAGCCAGGCAACTGTCCCATGTAGCTCCAGAGCCCGAATGTCACGGTTATCAGTTGTCTTTCAGAAAGGTCTGGACCTTTAGCAGCTTAAAATATATTCCAAACAGCATCTCTAGCTCCATTATCAGTCCAGTGTAGAACTACTATCAAAACACACATTGTTGATAATGGATGAGCTTGCTATTCATTTTCCAGCAGTGATATACAAAACCTACAGTCTTCAAAGAATTCTCCTGAACTTTATTTCCACCAAGATTTGGTGATTAAGGCGAGCCTTACTGGTACAGACTCTTCATGATCATGTTGATCTGCATCTCACGTTCCCTGTGATTCAGTGTGTTACACTGTGTGCGAATTTTTCAGTCTATTGTTCTATGAAGTAGTAGGTTGCTTCCCTTTTTGTCCATTTAAAGTCACTGTCATATTCTATTTTGAGTTCTGCCAGGTCTTTCCTGAGGCATGATGAGCAAAAATGCATAAAAAAGCCTGGGTGTCATTTTTAAGACCAGGTTATGTTTTAGTGTATACTAGTTCTTAGATCTTTTATGGTTCTGCACAGTGTTAGTTTTCGGTGGATGGCTGTGCCTTGAGCTAAAGTCAGAGGACATTGAAAAACTCCGAGCTCAGGACCTTCTCAGCAGAGGTAGGTAAACAAGTATGGGCTTCAGTGTTGGAGGACAGGAGTTCTGACTGGTCTCCAATGTCCTAGCTGGGGACCCTCCCTGCATCTCAGACTCTGTAGATGGGAACAGTGACTTCTGAAGTGCCCAGAGCCTGACCCATATATTTGGTGATGCTGTGAAAGACCTTCCCGCGTGCTCTCCCCTTACCACTGCGGTGCACATCAGCTCAGCTTCCCGGGATAAGTCCTGCAGTTCTCAGCCTGAGCTCTTTCTCTCACAAAGTGAGAGGGAATCACTACTTACCCTCCAACCCCACCCCAGATGCGGCCTTCAGTAATAAAGCATGGGAGGAGATGAACATCAACTTGGGTGGGTTAACTCTGAAGTGCATATTTCACACTGGATCCCAGAGCCCCCCAGTAGGATTAAGCTTACCCCTAGTGATAACTTACATAGTAACGAAATCCTCCTTTCTCTGGTCTCACTTCCTCATTCCCCCACCAAAGTTAACTGAGATCACATCCTACATACCCCAACAAAGCATTTGATACTCCTTTTCAAATCTTCCGCATCTGAGCTAATGGTAAATCCATTCTTTCAGGAGTTCAGGCAAAAAAGCCTGGTGTCATTGTGCCTCTCCTCTCTCCTACCCTTCATATAAAACAAAACAAAAATACAAACCTGTCACTATCGAGCTGATTCTGACTCATAGTGACCCTACAGGACAGAGTAGCACTACCCCATAGGGTTTCCAAGGAGTGGCTCGTGGATTTGAACCCCTGACTTTTACTAGCAGCCGAATACTCTAACCACTGCCCCACCAGGGTTCTGTCTTTCATATAAAGCCCTCGATATAACCTGAGGGGCTTCCCCCTCTGTAAGGGATATTTATTTATTGTCTCTCATCTCCAAGAATATCATTCTAATACTCTGTATTTTGGTGTTCTGACTTGGATATACAAGTTGCATTTTCTAACTCCCTTGACATATAGCTTTTGACTAGATAATGGCAATTGGAGGTCCTAAAGGAATGTTTGCAACAATTGTGTGGATGACACAGGACAGGGCTGTGTTTTGTTCTAATGTACACAGGGTCACTCTGAGGAACCGACTCGATGCACCTAACCACAACAGCAAAGGGATGCTGGAAGGTGGAAAGAGGAGAGAAGGGACTTCCTGTTTTTCAATTCCCTCCAGTGTTGTTCTACCAGAGAAAGAGCTGGCTCAAACCCCCAGGTTCTCCTGGCATCCCCAATACCAGCGGTGTGGCACCCTTTTGTGGAGGTCTAAGCATCAGCTGCAGAAGGTCCGTTTCTCAGAGGTCTAAGCACCAGGCCCACAGGGACACTCTTCTATACTCCTATGTTTTAATAACGTCTTCTCATTCCTTTGTTTCCCCAGCTTTTGGGGTGGTGGCTGATTGTGTAATTGTTAATTTCTGAATGACCTGAGCATCCTCCCTGCAGGCTTTCAGTCTTCTAACTCCTGGGCATCTCGTTCCCTACGCTGAATCCTTTGTGTTGGTACTTCTGTTCGCCTCTGTGAGTTCCACCCCACTTCACAGTGTAAGTATGCCACATGCAGTATTTCAGATAAACAAATATTTGGGGCAACCTACACTAAAATAACAAATATATATGTATATGCATATATACGTATGTGTATAAATGTATATTTGTTATTTATCTGAAATACAACTGTAACTGGGTGCCCTGTATTTTCATCTGCTAAAGCTGGCAATCATACTCCTAACTGGTCACCACGCTCCCATCCTTGCCCTGTTCTACCTGTTCTCTTTGCGGAAGCCAGAGTGATTCTGTTAAAATGTGACTAAGGCCATGTCATTTCTCTTCTCAAAGCCCTCTAATGGTTTTACATCTCAGAGTAAAGACAAAGAGCTTCCCATGACCTTTCAGGCTTGACATGAACTGACCCCCTTCTAAAAGTTAGTAACTGGTAATGTCTCCTCATCTCCTGCTAGTCTTGTCCTCCTTCTTTCCACTGTAGTCACACTGGCTTCATCATTGTTCGTAAAGCATACCAGATATGTTTCTGCCTCAGGGCCTTTGCACTTACAGATTCCTCTGCTTAAAACAGTACTTCTCCAGATACCTGCATGGGTAAGTTCGCTCATTTCTTCAGATCTTCACCTTCTTGTTGAGTCCCTCGATGGCTATTCTTTCTAAAATTTTATATGCCCCTCTCTCCAGATATTTCTGATTCTTCCACTGCATTACTTGGTTCTCTTTAGAAATGATTGCTTCTAACACACCATACATATATATATATATTTTGATTATTGCCTGTCTCTCCACTAAAATGTAGTCCATGAGGGCAAGATTAGTCTGTTTCGTTCACTGTCAAATCCTCTGATCCTAAAACAGTGTTAAATATCTGAATGAATGAATAACTAAATGAAAGATCATCCCGCAGAGTCTAACACAATCAGCTTAACACTTCACTAGCCAGAAAAGCCCACTGTTCACTATAAATGTCGAGATTTTTATTGGACCTCTTCCTTCTTAATGAAAGGTTGGTTAGATCCTGTTCCAGACTCAACACCAATGACCCTTAGATTTTCTCTCTCCTCTCTCGTGCGTGCCCACACATGCTCTCCAATATCGACTAATGACTATTATTCTTTTGTGTCTTTGCTAAGTTTTTCAATTTGCCACCCTTGTCAAGGGATTTCCTAAACATCTTGTAATTACATTTTCAAAATGTAGTTCCTTCTTGTTCACACCCTTTCCTTATACAGGATTTATGAAGATACTAGTAATAAAGGGCAATAATAACGAAACAACTCCCCCCCCGCCAAAAAAAAAAAGAGGTATTCGACTTACGTAAGAACCAGCTTATGACAGAGTGGTTGGGACAGAACCCCGAAGTAAGTTGGGGACTAACTGTACTCTCAAGGAACTGATGACTTAAAGCGGCACGCTTTCTCATTTTAGAAATTATGTCACCTTCACCCCCGAAGGAGGTACTGGGAATGTGCTCAGTGACCCTACACACTTCATTAGAGATCCTATGTAGCCTTCCAGGTGTGCAACCGAGGCTCACTGGTGGATTCTTCTCAGGACCACCCTTGTTATGGATAGCAGTTGTGTCCTCGGCAAACTTAGGCTGATTTAGAGGGGTTACATTTTTGGCAAGCATCCAGTTTCATGCCTGTTTTCCTTCAGACCCTACAGGTAGACATCATCTGGATCACGAGATTCTTTTATATTCAGTATCAGTAAATTATAGGGCATTCTGGCACCTTATCCAAATTTAATTTAATGCTTCTGTTTTCTCTGTTTCAGTTTTGAGATATGAAGTTCCCTTTTATATTTCTTTTTTTATTTTATTGTGTTTTAGGTGAAAGCTTACAGCACAAATTCGTTTCTCATTCAAAATTTTATACACGAGTTGCTTTGTGACATTGGTTGCAATCCCATCAATGTGGCAGCACTCTCGCTTTGTCGTTTTCCACCTGGGTTCCCTGTGTCCATTCGTTCAGTTTTCCTGTCCCTTCCTGCCTTCTCATCTTTGCTTTCAGGCAGATGGTGCCCATTTGGTCTCGTAGACTTGACTGAACTATGAAGCACATTCCTCACATGTAGTGCTATTGTTCGTTTTACAGGCCTGTCTAATCTTTGGCTGAAAGCTGGACTTCAGCAGTGGTTTCAGTTCTGAGTCAGCAGGGTGTCCAGGGGCCATAGTCTCGGGGGTTCCTCCAGTCTCTGTCAGACCAGTAAGTCTGGTCTTATTTTCTCCCACTCTGTCTGGGACTCTGTATTGTGATCCCTTTATTTCTTAATAAAAATTGAAACCAAGGGTTGGCTGAGTTTCCTTTGTCCTTATTCATCTCTGAATACCTATTCTGTATTCTATCAAAAGGTCACAATGATTCTCTAGCTGGCTATTTGTTTCTCAAGCCTTTTTTAATTGATTGTTTCCCCCTGAACACATCCAAAGTCAATCTGCCCTTCAAGTTCCAACAAGAATCCTCTTCCCCAGCCTATTTTTTCTGTCCTTGCATTCTTATCATGAATGTGTGTGACACAATTTATCTTCAGTAATATACTCTTCCCTACTTGTTCTTAATTTGAAAGCTTTGGTTTACATTTTTATTACAGCCAGTGACTTGAAAAGGGACACAGAGGATGTTCAAAAATATTTCTAGATACATAGATTGCTTAATATTAGAGTCTACACAAAGCAGTTCTGGATTGATTCAACAGTAAGACTGAAACATGCTAATGCTATTATAATACAATTGGTAAGAGGAAAGTGGTAAATATAAATTATACCTTAAACTGAATTTGTTGTTGTGTGCCAATGAATCTATCCCGACACATAGCGACCTTATAGGACAGAGTAGAACTGCCCCCTGGGGTTTTCTAGGCTGTGATCTTTTTTTTTATTTTATTTTTTATTGTTGTAGTTTAAATGAAAGTTTACAATTCAAGTTAGTCTCTCATACAAAAATGTATACATACATTGTTATGTGACCCTAACTGCTCTTTCTATACTGTGACAGCACACTCCTCCTTTCAACCTCTGATTTCCCGTGTCCATTCAACCAGCTCCTGACGCTCTCTGCCTTCTCATCTCACCTCCGGACAGAAGCTGCCCACTCAATCTCATGTATCTACTTGAGCTAAGAAGTACACTCTTCATGAGTATCATATTATGTCCCATAGTCCAGTCCAATCTTTGTTTGAAGAGTTGGCCTTGGGAATTGTTTTTGTTCTGGGTTGACAGAAAATCCAGGAGCCATGCTTTCTGGGGTTCCTCTAGTCTCGGTCAGACCATTAAGTCTGGTCTTTTTACTTGAATTTGAGTACTGCATCCCACCCTTCCCCCACTCCATGGGGGACTCTCTGTTGTGTTCCCTGTCAGGGCGGTCATTGGTGGTATCCGGGCACCATCAATTCTTCCTGTCTCAGGCTGATGAAGTCTCTGGTATATGTGGCCCTTTCTGTCTCTTGGGCTAATACTTTCCTTGTGTCTTTGGTGTTCTTCATTCTCCTTTACTCCAGGTGGTTGGGACCAATAGATGGCTGCTTGCAATCTAGGCTGTAATCTTTATGCGAGCAGATCACCAGGTCTTTTCTCCTGCAGAGCTGCTGGTGGGTTCAAACCACCAACCTTTCAGTTAGCAGCTGAGTTCTTAACCATTGTGCCACCAAAAGAAACCCAAACCAAATCCATTGCCATTGAGTCGATTCCAACTTAGAGCGACTCTATAGGATTGAACAGAATTGCCCCATAGGGCTTCTAAGAAGCCCCTGGTGGATTTGAACTGCCCACCTTTTGGTTAGCAGCTGAATTCTGAACCACTACCAGGGTTTCCACTTTGCTACCAGATCTCCTTACACTGAATTTAAGTGTGCTAATTTAAAATTGTTATTTCTATTGTAATTAGATACAAAAAAGTAAGTTGCTTGTATTCAAGAAACAATACCCATAATACTCCAAAGTGATTGCCAGTTACTCTGCCTAGTAAAAAGCAGTTTTGAAAACAATTAAGAGCATGAAGTAATTCCCTCAATCATGTTATTAATTCTGAACAGTTGACAGATCATAAATTAAAGAGCATAGAGAAAAAAAACAGAAAAGACATTTACCTGAAGTCATATGCAGAATAACCTTTGATTGAAAATCCAGAATGTGAAACAGAAAAATATTGGCACAGGCCGTTTTGTGCTTTAAATGGGTATTCTGAATCTCTCACCAGTTTTACTTGCATCTAAAAGAAAATAGCCACCCAAAGTGTTCACGGGCATTCAGTTGTTTTAAAAATCAAACAAATAATTCCAATGTGCTAAAATAAGGTCCTCCTTGGCCACATCGTCATCATGTGGATACTTTTTTGGGTTCTTAGATCTTAAGTTCTTAGGTACTTCTTATGGATGTCCTAGGGAATTACAGACAATATCCTTCCTTCTCAGTTTTACTCCTCTTTTTCCCATTTTCTTCTCTAGAATCTCCATCTGTCTGATAACAAAGCCTAGAGTCATCTTGCTCCTGAAGACAACAGGGTATTATCTTCCTTCCAGTCCTCTGGGTCTTTGTTAGCAATTCTTTGAGGGAGCCTTGGTGGAGCAGTGGTTAACAGCTATGGCTGCTAACCAAAGGATTGGCAGTTCAAATCCATCAGCTGCTCCTTGGAAACCCTGGAAGGCAGTTTTACTCTGTCCTCTAGAGTCACTATGAGTCAGAATGAGACACATTCAGTACAGTGATTTATCAAGACAAGATAATGGTTATGTTAAGCATTTTTCTACCCACTTCTCTCATCTGTCATGAGTCATACATTTTATAGTTCTCCCATTCTGAGTGCTGGGCTTATAGAAGCGGGGAAAATAGTTGCTGTCGGAGTCAATTCTGACTCATAGTGACTCCATGTGTTTCAGAGCAGAACTGTGCTCCATAGGATTGTCAATGGCTGATTTTCTGGAAGCAGATCACCAAGGTCTTTCTTTCAAGGTGTCTCTGGGTAAAACTGAACCTCCAGCCTTTTGATGAGCAGTTTAGCGCATTAACCATTTGCACTACCCAGAGTCAAGGGAAAGAACATGCAGTTCATTGTCCCACAATGGGTACAGAGCAGCTCCAGGCATACACAAAAAAAAAAAAAACAAACTCATTGCTATGGAGCCAATTCCGACTTCAGAGCAAACCTACTGGACAGAGTAGAACTGCCCCAGAGGGTTTCCAAGGAGCAGCTGGTGGATTCGAGCTGTTGACCTTTCAGTCAGCAGCCGAGCTCTTAACCACTGTGCCACCAGGGCTCCCAAAGCATATACCAAAAAAACCAAACCCATTGTCATCGACTTGATTCTGACTCATAGCAACCCTACAGGACAGAGTAGAACAGCCCCACGAGGTTTCCGACAAGTGGCTGGTGGATTCAAACTGCCAACCTTTTGATTAGCAGACAAGCTCTTAACCACGGTGCCCCAAAGCATATAGTGACACAAAATACAGTGAATGAATAACTGAAGGACATTCAGGTCTTAGGAACTTTGCCTTGAAGATTAAAACAAACAACAACAACAAAAGCATAATAGTGCTCCCATTGTCTGGTTTCATGTAGTTGATGCTTGACTGGGGACAGCGTCAGAGAGTTTACCAAGAACAATGAGGGACACTGTATTAGATGGGGTCAAGCCCTACAGTGGCACACAGGGAACTTAAAGGGCAGCTTTGACTCAGCTAATGACTTGGTAATGTGATTTCACCTCTCGGGTCTCATTGCTTCATCTGTAAGAAGAGTTACTACATTAGCTGACTGTAATGTTCCTTTGCACCTTAACATTCAGAAACTGTATGGAAATGAATAATTTTCTCTCATCTTTCTTGGGCATTTTGTGGCACGGATTTGCAAACAAGTATTTTCCTATTACAAAATGATAGGAAATAAGCATAAATATGGACTGAAAACAGATTTCAGGTAAGATTTTTCACCCTTTGATTTCTTGATGGCTGATTTGCCTAGAAACAATTCACTTTTAAATTTTCTGATTGATTCAAGCTTTGCTTATCTAAATTTCGAACTTGAAAACATTATTTAGCATAAGAAGGAGTTGTTTGAATACTTAACACATAGTAAACAATCAAAAAAGAAAAAACAAAGAGTTTAAAATTATTCACCTTATTTAACCAGTTCAAAGCATTGAGTGTAGACCCTCCATTGCAGCCATAATTGCTGTATGAACAATCAATGACCTGCTGTACACTCAGGTCTTCCAGAGGCTTCCCTTTGATCGCACATGCAGATTCCACCGCACCTACCACGCTGAAGGCCCAGCAGCCTCCACACTGTTCAAAAATACGAGAGGAGGGTGGTATTTATTATCAAATTGTATTTAGATCATGTCTACCAACATCTCTAAATAGAAGATATATCAAATCAAGTAAAATTCGCAGAACCTGGAAGTAACAAAACATATATGTCCACCTTCTAGATTTTCAAATTGAAAAAATAAAAGAAAACCAAAAGTCCCTTTTAATTGTGAAAATATAATTATTAATTAAAGGTAAATTAGTTCTATCACTATTGCAAATTCAAACAATGCAAGATAAAAGCAAATTTTCAGAGACTGGGAAAATGCTTAGACCAACTGATGAATTTGTCAAAGAATAATCAGTTCATCGAACATATAACATCTATTTATAAGTGGTGTTTCTACAAAGAGTGAGGACCAAATCCCACCCCACTCTTTAATTCCAACTTATTCCTCACCGGATCCTCTGCCTCTATGTCATCCACCATCCCTATCTCAAGGCTGGACATCAGTGATGGGATGAGGTGGGGTGAGGATGTAAGTTTTATTCATTATTTCAGGAAAACAAGAACTGAATGAATTAATTTTTAAGGCTGTATTATGGGTTGAATTGTGTCCTCCACAAAAGATATGTTGAAGTCCTAAATCCTGGTACCTGTGAATTTGACCTTATCTGGAAATAGGATCTTTGCAGATATAATTAGTTAACATGAGGCTGCAATGGAGTAAGGTGGTCCTAATCCAACATGACCTGTGTCCTTATAAAAAAGAGAAGATACATAGATACGGAGAGATGCAGAGGCAAGACAGCCGTGTGCAGACAGAGGTGCAGATTGGAGTGATGCCGCCACAAGACGAGGAATACCTGGAGCTACGAGAAGAGGCAAAGATGGCCTCTGGAAGAGGTAAGCGTCTTCCCTTACAGGCTTTCAAGGGAGCATGACCCTACTAACACCCTGATTTTGGACTTCGAGACTGTACATACATGCAGGACACGTACATAGATCAAGAAGCAGTCGTTCAAACAGAACAAAAGGATATTATGTGGTTTAAAAATCAGAAAAGCAGTGCAGTACAGTTGTATCCTTTCACCTTACTTATTCAATCTGTATGCTTAACAAATGATTCAAGAAGTTGGACTACATGAAGAAGAATGAGGCATCAGGATTGGAGGAAGACTCATTAACAACCTGGGGTATGGAGAAGACACGACCTTACTTGCTGAAAGTTAAGATGACTTGAAGTACTTACTGATGAAGGTCAAAGATCACAGTCTTCAATATGGATTGAACATAAAAAATAGGAAAATCTTTACCACCAGTCTGATAAAGAACATCATAATAAATGGCTAAGAAACTGACATAGTCAAGGGTTTCAGTCTACTTGGATCAACAATTTTGAAGTAGCAGTCAAGAAATCAAAGGACATATTGCATTGGGAAATTATGCTGCAAAAGACTTATTTAAAGCGTTAAAACGCAAAGCTATCACTTTGATGACTTAAGCGTGCCTGACCAAAGCTATGGTCTTTTCCATCACCTCAAGTATGTGAAAAATTGGACAATGAAAAAGGAAGATCGAAGAAGAATTGATGCATTTGAATTGTCGTTCTGGCAAAGAATACTGAATACACAATGGACTTCTAGAAGAACAAACAAATTAGTCTTGGACGAAGTACAGCCAGAATGCTCCTTAGAATGGAAAATGGCAAGACTTCCTCTTGCTCACTTTGGATACTTCATCAGGAAAGACCAACGGCTAAAAAAGAACATCATGTTAGGTAAAGTGGAGGGTTAGCAAAAATGAGGGAAAACCTCCATGGGATGACTTGACACAATTGCTGCAACAATGGACCCATACCAATGGTTATGTAGATGATGCAGGACCAGACAACGTTTAGTTCTACCATATATAAGGCTGCCATGATTCCCAGCTGACTCTACAACAATAGAGTCCACAACTGTGAGAGAGAAACTTCTGTTGTTTTAAGCCACTCACTTTGTGGTAATTTGTTATGGTAGACCTAGGAAACTAATACGGGCTGTATAAAGATGGCAGCCTGCACCACTAAGTATGCATATCACATATGCATGTGAAGCATCTTAATGCTATAAACCCATATTAATGTTCCTCATTCAAATATCGGCTAACCATTTTAGCTGATTCTGGATCTATCTATTGACTTCCTTTTATTGGACAAACAGGAACAACATATTAAAAAGGCCGGTCCTGAAATAAAGGGAGGTGATGGAGGATATGGAATCAGTGGATCTCCTTAAATGAAGAAGAAGGAACCACAGAAAAGACGAAGAAGAGCGTTTGAAACTGGATTCAACTTCCTCTTAAAACCATATGCTGCAGTATTAGGCAAAAGAAGGAAGAAGAACAATTGGTTGTATTTGGGTTTAGAGCAACTTGATGGCTTTAAGTTGTCTCATTTATGACTCTATCTCCAGTGCCTGTGACACAGTAAAACAGTCACTAAACGAATCTACAGCAGGGGTCCCAACCCTTGAGAAACGCGACAACCATAACTACATAGTCAAGGAGGTCAGTTCCTGTTGGAAAATATCCTGCCATTATATTCCTTTAATTAAAGATTTCTAATTAGAAGTTTCCCTTTAATACAATTTAGACACTTCTTGGAAGGATTAAGTATGACTAATTCACACTTCAGTGCGAAAATCTAATACTTGACAGGCTTAATTGAAGGAGAAGAAAGGAGAATTAGGAAGATGATTTTAAAAATAAACCATGCAAGAGGACCCGAAAACACATATTTTACCTCCTTTATAACTCTGTTCAAGGCCCCTGGAGGTGGTATCCTGTGGGCCAATGAAAACCATCACTGCTCTGCCATTTGTTTCCAGTCCCAGAAGAAGAATCAGAAGACATTAAGGGGACACAGGAGAGGAACCCCAAAGCGGAGGGTAAGAACAGTGAAGGGAAGTCTCCAGTGCTGCCCAACAGGCAGTCCAAGAGAGTGGAAGAGCAAAGGCAGAAGCACCATGGTTATAATTCTGACTCATGGCAACCCCATGTGTTACAGAGCAGAATCACTCCTTAGGGTTTTCTTGGCTGCAATCTTTACAGAAGCAGACTGCCAGGTCTTTTCCATGGTGCGGCTGGGTGGGTTCAAATTGCCAGACTTTAGGATTAGTAAAAACTCATTGCTGTCGCGTCAATTCTGACTCATACTGACTCTACTGGTTAGTGCAAACCATTTGGACCACTCAGGGACCTCGGAGACCTATAAAAAAAGACTTCATTCTATCTAGAAAACACTTCTATCATGAAGATTCCATATGGCTTTGGGGAGGGAGATAAAATTCTATTATAGATTGTCCCCCTAAAAGATGTGTTGGAATACTAACACCTCTATACCTGTTGCTGCTGAGGAAATTCCAATTCATAGCCCCATGGGGTTTCCATGGAGCGGCTGGTATATTAGAACTGCTACCTTTTTGGTTAGCAGCTGAGTTCTTAACCACTGCGCTAACCCCTTGTCATGGATTGAATTATGTCCCCCCAAAAATGTGTGTATCAATTTGGCTGGGCCATGATTCCCAGTATTATGTGATTTTCCCATAGGTTGTAAATCCTGCCTCTATGATGTTAATGACGGAGGATGGGCAGCAGTTGTGGTAGTGAGGCAGGACTCAATCTATAAGATTGGATTGTGTCTTGAGGCAATCTCTTGAGATATAAAAGAGAGAAGTGAGCAGAGAGACAGGGGGATCTCATACCACCAATAAAACAGTGCCAGGAGCACAGTGCATCCTTTGGACCCAGGTCCCTGCAAGGAGAAGCTCCTAGTCTGGGGGAGGATTGATGAGAAGGCCGACAGAGAGAGAAAGCCTTCCCCTGGAGCTGATGCCCTGAATTTGGACTTTTAGCCTACTTTACCGTGAAGAAATACATTTCTCTTTGTTAAAGCCATCCACTTGTGGTATTTCTGTTAGAGCAGCACTAGATGACTGACACACCCCTATATGTTGTTGTTGTTATGTGCTGTTGAGTTGGTTCCAACTCATAACGACCCTATGTATGACCCTATACACTGCCCAGTCCTGAGCCATTGTTACAGGCACTATGTCAATCCATCTAGTTGAGGGTCTTCCTCTTTTTCACTGACCCTCTACTTTATCAAGCATGATGTCCTTCTCTAGGGACTGGTCCCTCCTGATAACATGTCCAAAGTAAGTGAGATGAAGCCTTGCTATCCTTGCTTCTAAGAAGCATTCTGGCTGTACTTCCTCCAGGACAGATTTGTTCGTTGTTTTGGCAGTCCATGATATATCCAACATTCTTCACCAACACCATAACTCAAAGGCGTTAATTCTTCTTTAGTCTTCCTTTTCCATTGCCCAGCTTTCGCATGATATAAGGCGACTGAAAACACCATGGCTTGGGGCAGGCGCAGCTTAGTCCTTAAAGTGACATCTTTGCTTTTTAACACTCGAGAGAGGTCTTTTGTAGCAGATTTGCCCAAGGCAATGCGTCATTTGATTTCCTGACTGCTGCTTCCATGGGTGTTGATTGTGGATCCCCTATATAGGTGGATGTAATTCCATTTGGGAATAGGGTTTTGTTAGATTAATAAGGCTGTTATCAGTGTAGGGCCTGTCCTAAACCTAATTACTTCTGAGTTATAAAAAAAAACAGATTAGACACAAAAACAAGCAGAAACAAGGGAAGACAAATGCTGTATGAAGATCATCAAGGGGACCACCTGAGCTACGGGAGCAGACGAGAGAAGAATTTTCCCCCAGAGCTGAGAAGGAGAGAGCCTTCGCCTAGAGCTGGTGCCCTGAATTCAGACTACTAGCCTCCTGAACTATGAGAAAATAAACTTCTGTTCATTAAAGGCACCCACTGGCGGTATTTGTGTTATAGCAGCACTAGGAAACTAAAACAGATTCCTTATTCATTTATTTTTCTTTCTTATGTTATTAGATGTGGGGCAAGCTGTTTACAAATCTGCATCTCATGTTTCCTCATTTGTAAGACAAGTACAAAACAGTAACTGTCTCACAGATTAATTTTACTGATTAAGTGAGTTGAGACATGTTTAGAACACATATAGCAGGTTCTCAACATACGTAAGTTATTATGACTAGTGCTTTGTCGCTAAATAGTTCCCAGAGGGCAGGACTGACATGTTCCAACGTAAGGTCAGAGACAAACTCTTTCTCACCGTAACTGCACAGACTCATGCGTTCCAAAAGTAAGACTATCGATTGTCCCAGCAATGCCTAGTTCACAAATTCTGATCAATCCCTGTCTCCTGGTTTGGCACATCTCTTCTACGTTTGTTGGCTTCATTCTCAGACTTCCTTCTTTATGGCACGAGTTAGTTGTCATGAGCTAATAGGGCTATAGCCTTCCAGGTGCCATTCAGTAGAAAAGAAAAAGCCCCATTTTACAGGAGAAAAGGGTAAACCGCATTTTACAATAGCTCCCACACTAGTCCTCTGATTCGATCTCTGTGTAAGCCCATCTCTGAACCAATCACTGCTACAGGTATTCGGTGATTGACTGGCTTAAGTCTGAGTTCATCCATGGGTCTGAGATTGTATCCCACACAGCTGTCATAGGAGACGTCAAATGAAAATCAACTACTTTTGCCACAATGGAACCATGAATGGGTGCTGCTAACCAAAACAGCATGTGCGTATTTTATTTTTTTATTTAAATAGATAACAGCTCCCCACCAATAACTTGTAGA